TATTAAGTTGTGATTTCACTAAATGTACAGGACAAGCAATGAGTTCAACTAAATTTAAAGGGCTTGCATCACAGATGTTTTTCACTCTACACTTTCCAGTGCAGAAATAATTGAGATCAAATCGAGATCTCATTTCCAGTCTGAGAAGTACATCGGAAAAGGTAAGCACTCACAGCACCTACACAATAAACCAGATAGCATACTTACTTTTTTAACATGTGAAAACTTAAGCCTGAGAAAGCTTCTAGCATATTTGTGGGATACCGCACATTAATTTCAGAGGTAAGAAAAGTACCATCCCTTCCATCTCTTCTGAATGTCTTCTCATCCTCACAGTCTAAAATGCTTCTCTCGTATTAGAGAATATCATATGCAATGCCTTGCTAGCTGAAAAGACTACTGAAATATGACAGAAAATCATCGTTGGGGCAGTATCAAAATTCTGCCTCAAAAACATCAGATCATCTTATTGAAAAACCTAATTAAAACCCAAAAATACAATTTACTTTTTTTCCCCAAATCACATAAAACAGTGAAGAGTAGAGTTTATATACAGTATTAGTGTTTTCTACTATTTATCAATAGGTTAATTTAAAATTTAATTTAAATAATAATTGAGGAAGTCTGCTGTATGTAGCATTATAATAAACTTCTTATTATACACAATTGTACAAATAGCCTGCACTGAAATACTAATCTTTCAAATTGTTAACAAATCCATCTCTCTTAAAAAGCAGATTTGAGTTGTATCCACCAACAGAAACAAGGAATACTTTTAAGAGATTATTATATTAGAAAATCCTAGTTTTCTCCATAGTTGAGTTGAGACATTATGAAACACTATGGTATATGACAACTTTGCATCATATACTATACAATCATCAAACACTATGGTATATGATGTCAAATCATCACATACCTTCACCATATGATGAAGGACAGGTATTGCTAACTCACAGTGAAACCAGTCACAGGTTTGATGATCATCATTTGGTGCAAAACTAAGCCTTTTCCCTCCTGTCAGTGGAAATCCTATACAGCATAAACATGTAAAAACCTCCAAGCGTTTCTGGTTATACTGCAAGACCAGTTGTGATATCCATTAGCCAATATGCTGTTAAATTATTTTCATATAGAAATACTTTTATTAGCAATAGTTTTTATAAACCACCAGGAGAAATCAGAACAAAGTTCAGAAAGCAGCAGTTCTGTGCATGAAGCTCCAAATTATGTAGTAAAGCACAAATAAAAGGTTTTTACTGCAGAAAAAAAGGTTGGCTAACATAAAATTACTGCTAAAGCTTTTCAGCCAACTGCCATTCAAAATGAAGTATACTTTATTAAGTGAATTATATAAACGAATTTTTTATACACAGAAAAATTGGAAAAGGGCTACATGGTCACCTAGACAATAAGAATATGTACATACTTCTGCAAGTTCCATTCAGGTTGGATTAACATGTAAAATCAGCGTAAACAAAACACAGCTGTGAATGTCGGAAAGATCTGGACTAATCTTCTAATGCAAGCCTAGGAAAACTGCCTTACAGAGAC